GTCCAATTGAGCTTAAATTTTCAATAGTACTACTGTCAGAGTTTCGACGCGGAGATAGGAAACGCGTGTCCACACAATTGATTGATTAATCAATTCATTCAGTTGCAGATGAGAAATCGAACGTAAGATTTAATAACGAAAACGTATAGATTTTACTTTATTGTGTGTATAGATTTATACATTGTACGTTTATACAGAAAGCCCAACGTTTTTATTCGTTTAATTTATTTTGATTAATCAGAATTGGAAAAATCAATTTGACAAAACTATAGTGACTTTATCATCTGGCACGTCTCATTCGCATTCAATCTGTTAACGAACTTTTCCTTTCAAATGTAACTCGACGCATCTCGCACACATAAATTTATAGACACATACCGCATTAATCGGTGTGAATGGAGGAGGAAGGCGACGCCCACCTTCACATACATACACACACTCATATACGCGCGATCGACTTTCATTCACGTATCTACCATGCGAAATATCTCCTGCGAAGTCTTACCCTAGCGTAATCACAAATGTGCATAGATAGTAGACGTCGCACGCACATATATGTATATAGAAGGGTGTATGTATATAGAAACGTTCGATGACTAGCCATCCACGTGCAACTATTATATCGAGTGACCGACTATTATTAGTATGCAACTCGCCATAGAGGATAGAATAGCAAGAGCATAGACAGCTCCAGTTTAAGTAGGATGCGCGTTTCCGCACACGCTAGACGTTGCCGACGTCCAACCGATTGCACAGGATCACGCATTTTGCTCGCAACTCGCTTTTTAGAGCTGCGATTAATAATAACTCTTCCGACGCCGTCCCGTGTCCGACGACACGTTAAACTGTCAATCGCTCCCTCTTTTTCTTTCTCCAGTTCGTCTCCCCCGTTTGGTGTGACACACACACACACACGCACACACACACACACACACACACACACACACACACACACACACACAATTTATTTCGCGCTTCACCAGAAATAAAATTTATCGCGATCGATTTCTACTAATCTCTCCAATTCAGCGGAAATTCGCTCGGCCGTGCGCACTTCAGTGTGTAACGTCGCGGAAAGTTATAGCTCTTATCTCTTATCGAAGTATGATGTATGGTTGGCCATATGTTGTGTATGCGTGTTTACAATATAGTTTAATCATATAATTCCACCGTGACACCGCGAACGCGCCACGCGCAGCAAAGCCGAAGAGAAACTGACACAAAAACTAATATTACATTGCTACCACCATCGTTTCATCTTTTAACATCATTTTCTCATTTCGTTATTTAATTGCGCAGCTCACATATTTGCGCGCAGCCGCTTACATGTAGATAGAAAATTGAAATTCTAAGCTGTAGAAGTTTGTTATAGATCTTCGTATATGACTCTTCTCTGCAAGCAAACACGTGAAAATTCTGAGTGAGAGACATCCGCGTGCAGACCGGCCTTCGAAATGACATATTTTACAGGAAAATTTCAGATACTTTATGCACGTTTAAACGCGTACAAACGCGCTTTTCGCAGAAATCGCGGTGTGTATTCGCATGAGAGCGCGACATATTGGTTCTGATTGAACTGCGACTCGGTTCAACTGCTTTGCACCGCGCTGGACAAGCACGAGGCAGATGAAAACGTGAATACAACAAAATGAAGGGAGAATCTAGCTGGCAGTGCGGATTGGATGACAAAAATAACAGCCAGGGCTTTTACCTTTGACATATGTAGTGGTAAATACGCTCGTTGGACACGCACACATGTGTAAATCCATGCCCTCTCAAAAAAGGATTTCTAATAATGAGACGAAAACTATTCTTGATGCATTTAATCTTATCGTTATCTCATGCAATATAAAATTAAAACCATTTTAAGATTAAAGTAATAATTTCTATTTGTCTGCCTCGAATTAAATATAATTGACAGTTTGTCTTGAATTAAAAATAATACATACAAATTTAAGCTTGTTTATTCTTGCGTATAGAATAAATCATCGCCCGATACTAGTGCCAGTATTTGGTGTAAGATTATGCTACTATTTATTGTAGTATTAAGATCATTTTAGTCTAGATTTAAGAATATTCCAATTAAGATTAAAATATTCTGTTCTTTATAATAAATATGATTGTCCCTATATCGATCCTATTTTATGCTAATTTGAAGAGTAACAGCATTAGATCCAGAAATCTTTTCTGTGGGTGTTCGCGCGATGGACTGTCTCACAATGAAGATGTAATTTCACTTAACGCTCAATTTAATAAATTACCGCGATTGAAAAATGATAATAACATCGATAAAGAAAAGAGACATTATTAAACTCGCAGTTTTCAAAATCGATGCTGTAGAAAAAAGAGGAAACCTCGCGCGAAAAATTTAATTCAACATTCTCGACATACTTTTTTTTATGCGGAATCATCGTCCGCGCCCTACCAGTTATGGGACGTCATGTAGATCGAGTTTGAAATATCCTGAATATCTGAATTTGCTTTGCGCTCCATATTTTTTTCCGCAATAGGAGATGGTACACGATAACGCAATTAAAGGAACAGCGCGCGGATAAAACAATAAAAGATCTCCGTATGGCGCGCACAGAGGGACAGAACAATATTTTACAAGCAGACAATATTTTACAACGAATACTCGATGAACAACCGGTATTCGCGATTGCGACATAAAAAATCGGTTGGGCGGAATTTTGAGGTTCGGAATGGACTATAAGCGCGATTGCGGAGCTGTAATCAAGTCCGGATGGGTCGCACTGATTGACAATTTTCCGCGGTCCCCTACTCCGGATCAACCCTCCGCGGATCATCCCTACGTTGTTCATCACTTCTGCAGTACAAATTCGTGAATATTGATTCTAAATCAGCTTCTAAATCGGTAGTCATGATAATTTACACGGGATGGTTGGTAAATATACGTTTTTTACAAGAGGAAAGAAAAACATAATTTTATTTTTAATTAAATTATATCATTGCAGGTTGAAATTAGCATACAAATAAATTTTTTCTTTCTCGTTTTCGATGAAGGAATGGACAATGGCCATTAATTGATGAGTTGCTTTTGCGATAAAAAGTATCGGCTCTCGCATTCGTATGCTGAAAAATTGGGGTATCGATGTGAATGATTACCAATTAGCGAGATAGGTCGCTCACATCGACAGGCGGCTTGGTAAATGGATCTGGT